AACGGCCGCTGCACACCGGGACGCCCCGGGCGTGTGGCCGGATAGCATCCAACACACCCTCGCTGCGGCGCGCAGAACATCGGGGGCTGGACGAAGAACGCGCCCAGACTCGACTGCACTCAGGTACTCCACAGCCAAAACAACGCACCGCCTCAGCCGCCGCAGCGACCGCTCAATACATCGCAGACGCGAGGGCACTGCTCCTGTTGTTCCTTGGGCACCGCTCTGGCTGCTTCTGCCAGTGGCGCTAATGGCTGCGCCAACACCTATTTGCGCCACGACGCCAGACCCCAGAGAGAACGGTATGCGTCTTGAACACACCATCAGGCGCGGCCCGCTTGTGACGGAGCAAACTATTAGGCCACTGTGGCCTGTGGCACGGAGCGATACTTTGACGCCGGAGTTGAAGCCGCGGGGCCGTGGAACGGCCGCCCGCTCCCGTTGGTCGTCCTCCGTCTCAGCCGCGCGGGGGCCGTCGTCGCGCAGGATGACTGCCTCGAAAAGGTGCACCGGGAGGCCGGCGAGCGCCGCCGCCGGGGCACAGTCCACCAGCAGCGCTAACACCACCCCGTTTGGTGTGTCTTGGAATACTTCGCAGGGCGCCCCGCACATAACGCCGCAGCACCGCCCCACGTCCTCCTCCGTCCTTCCCGCCCCGTAGCAACCCACGACGGCCAGCTCAGCGAACACCTCCGCGAGGCGCTCCCTCCTCTGCCTGACTGCCTGCCAGTCAACGCCCCACGCCGCGGTGGTGGCTGCCCCGTGGCCGACAGCCTGAAAGGACAACACAACTTCAGTTTCGCCATCGTCTGTTGTTCTGCCAAGAAGAATTCCAAAAATGGATGTCGCTGTGTTGGTTGACGTAGGCTCCTGCATTTTTGTGGCGTGGTGTGTTATGCTGAGTATCACTATCGGCGATAGGCGGACAGGCCGTGATGGTTCCTCTTGTCCCATATGCAGCAATAAAGGTGAGATCTCACCGTCGGTGGTTTTGGATGACATTGATATGTAGTTCTATTTTGTTAGTGTCCCGTTTCGTGTTTTGTAGTGGTACACTTTACGTGTGGAAGCTAGAAAGCAAGGAAGCGCAAGTATTTCTCCCACCTTCGAAGAGAAAAATACATGAAAAATGCAAGTTAGTCAAGGAGTCGTGTTGTTTGCCGTGGGGTTGGAATGAGTTCTGCAGCTCACTGTATTGTGGGAGGTGACTGAATGACGGGTCTCGCTTAAAGGCGTTGTTATTACTTTTTTTTGTTGTTGCTGTTTGTGGGCCTGTGTGTATGTGGTGATGGGAGTCTTCCACAAACGCGTGGCGGTAGAGCATTGGGGTGTTTGCTGTGCATGCCCTGTAAGCAGGAGTTGGCAGCACCTCGAAGGCACCCCACCTCCCCGGCACGACATCCCCTTAACACGCATGCACAGCCCGACATTCATCAAGGGAGCAAGGTAGAAAAACACAGCTAAAAGGCAAAAAAGAAAAAAAAAATGAAGAAGGATATCCACACCGTGTACGTTCTACCCACTGGACATCATAAATATATTTATATGTATATATACGCTTTCTTTGTTGTCCTTGCACGTATTTTATTTGAGGCGACTCCCACATATAATTCAGAGATGCAGGCAATGCTACAACGTGTTCCCTGCTAAGTCACTGACGCTCAGACACGCATATACACGCGAATTCAAATATGTAGATAGGTGGGTAAATATACACGTGTACACACGCATACATATTACACATACATGGTCAAAGGTGCCGTTTTCGGCTTCCTTATTTTGCACATCTCGCTTTCATCACCGTCACTAACCAGAGCGAAAAACATGTGCCTCAAAGCAAAGCACAACGCGGTGATCACACAATGACGGCAGCAGCGACGAACTCCACAATGAGTCGCTCTAGCCATGTGGTGTGTTCAACCACAAAAACAGTTTCCACCGTGCTCGTTACCTCCGTCATCGTGTTGTTGTTGTTGCTCTTGGCACTATCGATGAACGGGACAGAGCATGAGCTCCGTGCCGCCGTGGCAGGCGCTGGCCCGTACTTTCCACCCGCACGCCGCCTCCACGGAGGCAACCACTGCCGTGTCCTTGACGGCATGCAGCTCGCACCACCGTTTGACGCCTTGTTGGTTTCTATTGCTAATTCGCGCTCCTGTAACGTGAGTTGCGGCAGAGCATGGAGGGTGGATATCCCCTCCAAAAACACGCCGTGACCGCCGCGACGTGTCAGTACAGTCACCACGCACGGGTTTTTCGATAGTGCCCGCATGGGGAGTGTGTTGAGGGGTGCCATTTCATCGTCGCTCGCGTGCACAAATAATGTTGGTATACGAATGAGGGAAACGAGGTGGGCGCTGCTGGCGGAGTGGTAGCGAAGCGCCACCATTGCCAGGTTTGGGGGAGGGGATGGACGGGCGTACGCGTCACGCTTCACCTTGCGCGCCGCCGCCGTCTTTCGCGAGGCATCACCGCTGCCCTGCGCGCGCGGGGAAGATAAATGGGCAGGCAATAAATGGTCTGGCCTTCCCCGCGCCATTTCAAACAACCGTGACGCACAATGAGCAGGTGACTGAGGTGGCGTCGCGCGATGCCCACCAGGAACACCCCCAGCGGCTCTTGTTGTGGCCGTTGTTTGCGCCGGTTCCGCGTCACCGTCCTTCCTGCAGCGACTGTCTTCGGCATCCTCAACGTGCAGGGTGTCTCTTGAAGCGTCGTGCGGCGGTGACGGCAAGGCGGTGGAAAAATGTGGCAACACGCACCGCCCCGGCAACCCCAGATCCATGAGTGTGGTTGCCGCGGTGTCATCGCAACTCTGCAACAACACTTCCCAGTCCGACAAACTCATTAACGGGTGCCACCTGCCGCTTGAAGAAAAGTGTGCAACACTGTCCCCCCACGAGGGGATCCCTCTGCTGCGCATGCAGTCCTCATCGTCCTCATTACCTGCCTGCACTTCGTTGAGCCACCACCTCCCCATTTCCTGTTCAACCTGCGCCTCCACCTGCTGAAGCACCCCCAACGGTGCCTTCTCAGGCGTCAAAAGTGGCCGCGAAAAGAAGGGAAAGGCGCAGCTGTAGGCGGGGGGCAGAGAGGTATCGTCCCCACGTTCGATCTTGCTATTCCCTGAGGTGCCGATGCCTACCGTGTGATACAAATACTCCCAAATGGCGACATCGTGTACATCCTGCACGACATTTCCCGTCTTCTTCTTTTGCTGCTGTCGCCAAAGCTCGCTGAGACGATCCGCTGTGAGATGCAGACGCGCTGCAAGCAGCAAAAGACGCACGGCGCCAGCCGGCGCGGAGAGAAAGTTACTGTGAAATGGCGTTTTGTGCTTCCTCGAACACCAAAGCCTATCCCACCCGAATGACTGCGGTTGCTTACTGCTGTTCGAGACGGTTTCTGGGACAAGCGCGTAGTTGGAGGAGGCGGAGTGATTGATGCAAATGACTCCGTCCAGCCGCGACTCTGCACCGTAGGACATGACGTATTGCAGTAGGGGGCTGCTGGCGTTTGACCAGCCCACCCCCACGATGTAGAGACTCCGAGTACCAGCTTTGGGATCGTTCTGCAAATGCACGTCGGAGTGACTGTTTGAGGGCGTCGGGGCACCACCGACCGCTTCCGCATCCCAAGACGGTGGTTTATTCCTCGCTGCAGTTTGTTCATGAAAAGAGTGTCGAGAAGCAGTTCGCAGCCTGCCTAAACGCGAAAGCACCCTATCAATATCCTCCACAGTCACGTTCACCCTCCTCCGACACAAGGAGGCGTCCGCGCCGGCAGCATCGTCAAACGGCATACCGCATGAGCAGCCAATCAACTCGGCTACGGGGATCGCAGCATGCCAAGAAGCAAAATGAGGGTCCGTGGTCTCGGCTGATGTTGTGGAGGTATCGGGCATATCCTTTTCCAGCTGTGTCTGAGATGGCTGCAGACGCCTACTATTGCAGCTCCTCTGGCGACGCAATTTGGACATTGTTGTTAGGGCTTCACAGAGGGCACCGAGTCGCCGCGCCACGTATCCATGCTCATTTCCTTGTGCGACAGAAGGACAGAGGAGCAGCACTATCACAGGGGCAGAGGAATCAGACGCCTCTGGTGGTGCTGATCCATGCAGCCAGTGCAGACTAGTTACACGAGACTCCCACGCGCATCCAGCAGTGGCGGTATGGGCCCTGTCATGTTCCTCTGTTGCCATCTCCTTATGACATGCCGATAACGTTTCTGGTTTTATCTTGGCGCACTTACGTGAGGAAGGACTCGCGTCATACTCAACCACTCCCACATGCTGTGGGCCCTCGGGGGATGCTGCGAGTCCGCGCCGCATAGAAGACTTCATTGGCGCTAGCGTGGGCACGTAGTTGCAGGATGTGGGTGCCTCATCGAGCGTCCCCTGCCGTGGAGCGTGAGCGCACGCCCACAGTGCCTTGGCAGCCTGCTCAGGAATGAAGCAAATCTCCTCCACTGGATCAGGGATCTGCCCCCGCCTGGGCTGAAGTTTGGTGAACATGCAGGACACTGACGAAGTAGATGTTAACGAAACCCGACGGAACCGTCTTCTGGCGCCCCCTGCATAACGGTGTTGCACCTCACCCCCGTGTGACATGAAAAACAACCCTGTCACAATGCGCCAGAGAGGGTCAAGAAAAGAAAGCAGCAACTGTGCCTTGGAAGTTACCGCGTACCAAGGAGGGATAAAACCTTTTTTCACCCGTGGCTGCCGTGGGTAGGTGCGGTATGGAACATGCGTGGACTCCGCTCCAGCAGTGTCGCCGGGAAACCAGCAGGAAAATGTGCCATAGTCTCTCCCACGCAGAAGCGGCTTCCGCTGACAGGACCCCCGCAAGTGGTGCGTTTCGTGTCGTTCATTGTGTGCCTCATGTGCGTCCGCCTCCACGCAGGCATTCTGCAGGAGAGAATACTGCACAAAGGGGATGCCACCGGTGAAGACGCCGTGCAAAATGTGAGCGCCAGCCGCCGTCGACACCGCCGCCGCCATGGCGTCCTCGCCGCATCTGAGCTTCTGCTCCGGTGTGAACCGGGTGGAGGTGCGATGAAGGCACCGGGAGAAGGCGTTCATCATCATCGCCGACGCTGCCGTCCAGGCGTCCTCGCAGCTCTGCTCCGTCGACGCCTCGCTGCCGTTGCCGTCCACCTCCAGCAGCGCCTGCTGCGGACTCAGCGGGGAGGAGATGCTTAAGGAGTTTAACATGTCCTCGTCCGTAGCAGCCTCATGCTCGTCTGACGCCGCAGCGGTGTTAGTGGAGCTGTTCTGGTACATGGGCGATGCAAAGACGTGAGTTGCGCCGCCCAGGCAATCCAGGCACTCGATGCAGCTCAACACATCCAGGCAAAAGGTGGAACCAAAACACACCACCGCCTCTGCCCGGACCCCCCACATGGGACTGCGACGGTCATGACGTTCCAGCAGCAGATAACGCGGCATAAACAAAAGGACCTCCACGACACTGCGGAAGAGGCCGAGAAGCACCAGCCATAATCCCGTGAACATTGCCGTGAACCACCTTGTAAAACCGATTCCTCTACTTTCTACCACCTCGTTTGGCGTCCTTCCCCCCTTCCCTCAAGTTCCACACACCGGCGGTGCCTCTGCAGGCAATAAAGACAAACACAGGGAGCAAGAAGCCACAACACAAATGTGTGTGCATCTCACACATGTCTGTATCAATTGTAGCAGCTGCACCTCGACACATAGACGTTGGGAGAGAGCGAGAGAAAAAGTCTGAATTCGATTGATGGATGAAGGAACTCTGCACACATATGCCTAGCACATATACACAGAGACGGAGGGAGATGAAGAAGGAGGAGATACAGCACTGAGGTTTTAGAATCATTACCATATATCAAAGAAAATGCACCCCCACCCCACCCCCCACACACACGCAGTTTGGACGTCAATTAACCTTCATTCGTGTCACCTGCTGTCTTCCATTTCTTCTACTTTTCCCTTTTGACCTTCGTTGCTCCTTCCTTGTGGTGGTGGCGGGTGCGCCTTCTTTTATTTTTCGCCACAGTTGCTGTTGTTTGCCCCTCAACACACACACACTCCTTCCTACATTATTCACTCTCTTCCTCCTTCCTGCTGCTCTCTTCCTCCTCGACGCACACACACCCGCCACTTTTCACTCCCCGCAACACCCCCCACATCCTTCCCCCCTCACAAGTTGTGCCAGCGCGGGCCGGAGCGTCTCATCTCCTCCCGTCGCTCCTTCTGCCCGCTGCAGCCTGTTATGTCCGTACGTGCACGACTGTGTAGGCCCCAGCGCGCACCCACGCCATAAGACACACACATACATATTATGCAAACGTGCACAGCTGCAGTAAAAAAGAGGGGAGCGGGGGGAGAAGAACCACCATGGCAAAGCCGAAAAATGTGTCGCCTCACTGCGGCAATACGACCACGACGACAAAAAAAAAAGGAGGACAGACGGTCAGTGAAAAGTCCACCACCACCAAAACAAGATGAAAATATAAAGCATCACCTAGCGGCGTGAATGTTTGTTTTAAACCAAACTAGCAACTCAAAAGGAAGGGGCAACAGTAGATGCGTGGGGGGAAAAAAAGTCGGGGTGGGGATGGGAAGGGAACGCGGGTGGGGAAGGCGGTCAAAAACAAAAAAAACAACAAACAACAACAACAACAACAACAACAACTGCGCGCTCACACAAGGCACCAAAGTGAACAGTCCAAGCAAAATACGTATGCACAACGGGTGAATGAGCACATATACAGATGCAGTGACTGAGAAAGAGACATATATGCATGCATGCGTGCATGGTGGGGCGGGCAATTGCGCGTGAGTGACGCAGAAACACGGCAGCATGCATGAATGAAGACGGCAGGCAATAGATGGCTCAAGAGCCTCCAAGGCTTCTGCTAACCGTACCGTTTCCATCATTGCCGAGGGAGACCACAGCCTGTTTCAGTGACTCCATGAACTTCATAATGGAAGCCTCATCGGTGTAGATGACGTCGGACTGATCGCTCGCTGCGGTGGCACCGACACCGGCGGCAGCAGTGCCAATAGGACCGCTATGATGTGTTGTTGTTGGGTTCATTCGGGTTTTGATGTGCCGCGCTTCCGAGCCATTAGCGTCTGTGCGAGAAAAGCGCGGGTACGGGTATCTCGTGCTCAGCAGTCCAATCGCATCGTTTTCTACAGTCTCCAGCAGCTGTGCAAAGTAGGTATACTCGGGGTTGTCCTGGTACTTGGCTTGTATCCAGGCGAAGATGGTTGTACCCCACATGATGTGAATGTTAAAGTACGCGTCCATGAGGAGAATATTATCCGGGCACAGGCTGCAGCTGTCCAGTGGCACCGGCGATGCCTGTGGCGTCTCAATGTCGTACGAGTACAGTGCCGGTTGAATCATGAGGACGCAGTTGTCGACGGGGTCCCGCATCAGCCAGTGCCGCTTGAACGTAGTCTCGTCAGGGGAGATGTTGAGCACCATAAAGTACTCCGAGCGGCGCAAGTTGAACAAGAAGGAGGGGAAGAGCGAGAGGCAGGGGTGAAGCCGCAGTGACTCCGGCATGCCAGGGCGGAAGGTGCCATAGCGGCGCACAAAACGCACCAGCAAGGTGTCCAGCCATCGCTTGGTGTCATCCCACTTACTCGGGTGCTTCTCAAGGATGCTCACCACCATGCGAGCCAGCACGGTAGCGGCACACGTCTGGTCAAAGGCCTGGTGTTGCACAAAGTACTGTGGGTCAATGGACGGCAGCGATGGCGCAACAGGCAGCACGACACTCGTCACCCGCACCCGCGACTCCCCGTGCGGAGTGGTGAAACGCACCACAAACTGAAAGAAGCGGCGCCTGGTCTCATTGCCGCGCGGATCTTTTGTCCCGACGGCGTCCCCGCCATCCTTCTTGCTCATCGTGGCTGTATCAAAAAGGAAGGTGTACGTGACCGCCTCGTCCAGGGTGCTGACGCACCAGTTCGTTGTGCCCCCCACCCCAATTTGAATGGGGGAGGCCGCACGGTGCAGACTCGTCTTGTTCGCCTGTTCATCCACGAGACAGGGCCCCAGCACGCCGCTCACTAACGTGTCCACGGAAGTATGCAGCCCAAACTTTACACAGAAGGCGCTGCGCACGGAGAACGCCGCGCCATGCTCCTCTAGCGCTTGCACACGTGAGTCAAAGCGGTCAAAGTAACGCTGAAACGACGTGGCAAACATCTTGTGGCTAAACGCATCACCGCATATAAACGTACCCCCAGTTTGATTAACCGCCTCCCGCATTTCTAGGATGCCCGTCTGATCAAAGCTCTCAGCAAACACGTCAAGGCTAGCCTGCACATTGGACAACCGCTGCTGTAGATTGTTGTACATGTTGAATGCGTCCGCGTAATACGGTGTGTCGCCGTCAATAATGTCACGATGGAAGCGCATCATCTTTTCCTTCTCAATACCCACAACCGTTCCTGGGCCGCGGGTGCAAGGCCCACCTGTAAAAAGCATTAGTCGCCCTGCCTTTACAGAAGGTACCGACGCTGCAGCTGCAGCTTTTGCCTCCTTCACAATGGGTTTTTCATACAACAACTCTAGCAATCTCACTGCGACGCTAACGGCAGTTCCGGTGGTGCGCAACGGTCGCTTGTTTCCGGGCGTCACACTATCGTCACACTGCAGCTCCTCAATTAAGGTGGTCAGCACAAATTCACAGTCCTCAAGCAGCGCCAAGAAGCGGCCTCGCACCGGCATCGCATCCGTTACCTGCAACATTGCCGAGAGTTCGGCAGGGTCGTATTGCTTTTCGCCGCGCAGACTGTAGCAGCGTGTCATCGTCGTAGTTCCAAGCTCCCACACCGACGTGCGAGCCCCAAAAGAGATGAAACCCACAAGAGACTGTGGGGGGATCCAGTTCAGGCAGCGCAAAATGCCTTGCTTCAGTGACTCGAGCTCCTCCACCGGGATGCAGACGTCAATAATAAAAATAAATGTTGGGTATGTGTGCTTTGCTGTAGCGTCAACAACCTCTCCTTCCGCCGCCGTGGGTGCTGCCGAAGGGATAATGTACTCCACGGTGTCATGATGCAGCGCTGGGTGCTCAGGGCTGTAATTCGGCGGCATTGGACTGCGGCGCAGGCACGAGGGACACATCCAGAACTTGCCCTCCTCACGGTAACAGTGCTTGTTCCAAAAAGCGCCGCAATTCGGACACTGCTGACCACGCGCAGCGGGATCACCAATGACAAAGTGACAGGTTTCCAGCGGCTTCAGTGGTGTGTACATGCAAGCAAGCGGAACGATCATCTCTGGTAGCGTGATGGAGGCCACAGAGACTGGGTCATGCTTGGCGTCGCGGTACGTGTTCGGGTAGGTGCTCCACGTCCAACGCAGGCCGTTTACGTCTGTGGCATTCAACGCGGCACTCGGTGCGTCCTGCCCAGACGCCAAGGCAGAGTCGGCAGCATTGGTATAAGCCATGGCTGACGCCCTTTGAAACCCCACAGGGGAGGTCAAAGCATCCGCAGTTGTATTCACCCCTGAGGCGCCCCGTTGTTGTTCGTACTGATACGGCTGCTGTTGTTGTTGCTGCTGCTGCTGCTTGCAAGTACCGTCCACTGTAGTCGCCATTCACGCCGCCAGACGGCACGGCACCTTGTGAGGCGCCGATGTTGGCTGACGCATAGTACGACCCGTAGTCCCCGTTGCCTACAGCTGGCAAATATGCGTACTGTTGTTGTTGTTGCTGCTGTTGCTGCACATGTGAAATGCCCGCATCGTAGCCGCCATATGACTGCTGTTGGGAATACCCCTGCATGCGATGAAGTCAGAGCTCTGCCGCCCTTGTTCGTTGTTTTTTTTTCCTCGTGATAAGAAACCGAATTAGCGAAGTTTCCTACCGGTGGCACAAATACACACCGCCACTGGCTGCTTCTTTACTGTTGTGTGGAGCTAAATGAGACTGTGGGTGCGGTGAGGTAGGAAATAGAGGAAAAAACAACAGGAGGGGGATGAGCAGAAGCGGCGGCGGCGAGGACGAAATTGCATGCAACCCATGAAAATGGGTAATCCTTTAACACTTGAACCCATCATCCCCACTTCTCCGTCTCTGCTGTCTGACACTCTCGGCACAGCTATTCATATAATGTGTGGGTTATTGCCGTGTCGTCACGCGGCATTCATGACCCTCTCCAGCGCAATACGCTCCAACTCATTTCGGGTGTCAAAAAGGTCGGGGATATTATACTGCGGGTAGTGTGACACAGCGTGGCGCAACAACTCTTCAAGTACTTGCCGTTGGACCCGCAAGCTGGCCAGTCGTTCGCTCTGCTGCTCCAGATCTGCCACGGCGCTCTCCAAACGGTCCCGTGGCACGGCGAGCGGGCGCGGCAACGTTGGCAACAACAGTGGTGGTGGTGACGATACGAGGTGCTTTGCGGCGGCGGGGCGCCGGAGCCTTTCTATGGCGGCGATGTCCAACTCCAGTCGACGTATTTCCGCCTGCATTTGTGCGGTGTATTGCCTGTCGGACTCGCGCCTGGCTTCTACAGTGACGTCAAGTAGCCGCAGTTCATTCCGCAGCCGCTGTATGTGGCCATCGTTCACGTCCACCGCACGCTGCAGCCGCTGGAGCTTCTCAGCCACGGGCATAAGACGATGGCAGTGCTCGACACGCGTGATGGTTGCATACGCGAGGTAAATAAATAAAAACAAAGGGCCAAATAGAGTGAGAGTTGTTGTTTCGTGACAATGATGGAGCCTCAGCACGTTAGCTTTCGCCTTGCAGACACGATAAATTTCACAAGAGTACATGCGTTTCCTCCTCTCTCTGTGCGTGTGCGTGTGTATATGTATGTGCGTCCGCAGCATCCGACACGCCACAAAAATGGAGAAAACAAAACCCACAAACTCGGCGGATGCGTGGCGCAGTGGAGTCGCAGGCCGCACACACACACCTCGTCGCCGCGGTTGGAGCAAGCGCGGGGCGGGGCAGGGAGGGCAAGGCTGCGTCGCAGCACACCAACTCTAAAAAAACACACACAAAAAAACAGAAACAAAACAAAAAAAAAGGCAAACCATGCCGTCAAGGCCCTGCTCGCTTTCTTTTCCTACGCACCCCTCCTCCCCCACCCTGAAGGGCTCCATGGACATCTATATCTTCATGTGAACCACCCTTGCACCTTGCGCCGCCACCTGCCTCTCTTCTCCCTCACCTTCTATAAAACATCCGAGGCAAGCGTAATATATCCTCGCGCGTGGTTGTCCCAATTGCCACTCCGTGAACGACCCCCGCTCTCGCCCGCTCCCTCATGTGCCTCAATCTATCCGGGTGGCAAATCGCAGAAGATCGTCACCGGAGGCAATGACAACAACGCCCTGGTCGTACGACCGCCCATCGCGTGCCGGGCGCACCACCTCCCCCCCGCCGTACTCAATCACCTGCTCCAGTTTCTCCTTGACGATGCCCTCCGGCATGGTAAGAAGAAAGCGCTGACACTTGAGAGGGGGCGGAAAGCAACGCAGCCCGCCCTCTTCGTACTCGTCCAGCCAAAAACCAGCATCACGAGAGGCGTAAATGTACTCCGGCTGCACAAGCCACTTTGAGCCCACCACACCGCACAGAGCCTTCATGCTACGTGGCGGCCCGCGCACGACGATGTGCGTCGCCGTAAACGGCGGTGGATCCTCATAGTCGCTCTCCACCACAACACCATTCTGCCCAACCGCTGCAACTGCCGCCTTGACGCGTGCACGCTCCTCCTCTGTGAGGCTTGTTATGACAAAGCAGCGCGGCTGCTCCGCCCCGCGCTTTGGGTTCACAGGCGAAGGTGAGCGCGTTGGTCCACCTACAGCCGAGGAGGTGCCGCTGCGCTGCCCACTACGCAGCCGTTGCTGCTGTAGTTGACCATTAGGCAATTCCCGCTGTCGCGGGGTGCGGCTCAGCGCCGCTAGACTCGTGGTTGCAGAGTTAGACACCGGTGGCGGTGGCGGTGAAGGTAGCGAGGGAGCAGGTGGCAGCAGAGCCGTGCCATACTGTGTAATGAACCTAGACTCCACGTTGTGCATGGCATCACGTTGCTGTTGTTGTTGTTGTTGTTGCTGTTGCTGATGATGATGATGATGACGGGCCATGGCTTCCGTGATGGTGCTCGTTGCAGGGCCAGGGGACACAGTGGAGCTCGACGGATGACGCGCCTTCGTCAAATACCGATCCTCCGCAAAGGCGGAGGCGACAGCCCCAGGGCGCACCTGTGGTGAGTCATACTCCACCTTTACCGACTGCGACGTTGTCTTTGGATATGACGTGGCACTGGCGGTGCTGGTGGCCGTCGCGGTGGCGACACGATCGGCTGCCGTTAGACTCGGCGTGCGGGGCGTCCGCTTCTTGCGTGGAATGGCGGGTGAAAAACTATTTGGCTGGTCCCGCTCCCGCTTCACCGGCATGCTGCCATGGGGAAGAAACGCAGCCCTTTCGTCTGCATCCGTTTCGTGCTCATTGCCGCGTTCATTGCCCTGCAGCAACTGCGGCGGCTGCTTGACGGAGCTGCCGGGGAGGGACCTGAGGCCGCGTTTGCTCATAGGCGTGGTGGCCGTGGCGGCAGAGGCCTGCTGTCCTGCAGCAGCGTGCCTAACCGTCTGCTCGTACTGCGCTGCGGTTGTCATCAGTCGCCGCGCCTCCATCAGGCGACGCAGTGCCTCCTCATGCGAGGCCACCTTTGCTCGAAGCTCTAATTCATGCCTATTCTCTATCTCGGCAAGCTCAAGCCTGTGCTTTGCCTCTGTCTCGTCCAACTTCTGCTTCTTCCCCTCCACGGCACCCAGAAGCTGCTCCACCCGCCGCATCAGACGTGTCGTCTCCCGCTCCAGCTGACCCACACGTTGGGTGGCATCGGCGGCCTCACGTGTTTTCTGCTCCAGCCCCTTCTCAAGCTGGCGGCAGCGCCCCAACAGTTTCTCGTACCGCTGAAGCGAGACACCCTCGCCCGTAAACGTTTCGGCCGTCCGATGCAACAACTGCGAGCTGTTCGTCTCACCATGATGCACAGAGCTCGTGGTTGACACCGTCTGAGTCGATCCGCGACGCGCGGTCGCAATCATGCCCTGCTGCTCCCCCACATGTACTGGCGATGAAGCCGGGGCAAGCGCTGATGACGGTGCTCCACCCAGCGTTGTTGCAGCAGCTTTAGCCGTCATCGCCTGGCTCGTGGTGACGTCCTGGTCGGAGTGTGACAGGACCGTCAGCAGGTTCTGCAGCTGACCGACGAGTTGTGGGTTTGACGTGAGTTGCTGCAGCACGGACAGTACATTGGGCTCCATCGCAGCTCGCAACACACACGCACACGCCAGTGCGAGGAGGGCGTCAGTGGTGATGGAGGCACGGCGGACACCTCCCCACACCCACTCCTTCTAGGCAAGAACGGCAACAGCGCAGGAAACGCCTGCAGACACTCGTCGCCTCCGTTCCTTTTGTTTCTACCCTTTCTTTTATCGTTGCGGGGTGCTTCCCCGCAGTTCAGACGCTTTTTGTTTTCTTTTCCTTCTTGTTATTGTGGGTATTGTTTGCCTGTCGCGACACGCGCCCCGACAGAGACTCCCGCGTAAAGCGGAGGGATGAAAGAAATAAATAAAGATATATATATATATATATATATGAAAGGAGCGCAGATAAAATCGTGGCGAAACAACCCACGCCTCAGGCGCTGAGAGAATGACCTCCCCGTCTGCCCAGCCACAGAGAGAGAGAGAGAGAGAGAAAGCGCACACACGCACGCAGATATACAGTCGTATATACGGAAACTTGCCGCGACACGAGAATAAAGCCACGCACAGCGACAGATGTGTCTTTTCCCCACACTTCCGTCGCGATGTTCTTTTTTTTTTTTTTTTGGTTACAGCAATAAGCATCGTTCCTTGAGCTATGGCGCGTTATAAGATGCATTCAATCCCCTGTCCACCCCCCACTCCTTTTCTTTTGTTTTTGGTTCCCATTGGGTTGTTTCCCTCACTTCTTTTGTTTGTCAACATGCCCTCCTTCCTTTTTTCGTTGCGTTCTGCCTTCTGCCGCTCTGTTCGTACGCACCCTTCACTTTTTTTTTTTTTCATTTGCATTTTCTCTCTTGTTTATCGACTCTGCTCTTCCTCAGGCCCACTTAGGCATTCCCCTTTCAGACCTTACATGCACGGGCGAGCTCCGCAGCGACGCTCTCGAGGAATCCCTCTGTCGTCTCATAGTGGGACCGCTGCAGCTTCTCCTGCCCGTGAATGCAGAGCGCGAGGTCCTTCGTCATGTGCCCAGCCTCAACGGTGCGAATGACCGCAAGTTCGAGGGTGGCGGCAAAGTCGACAAGGGCCGCGTTGCCGTCCAGCTTGCCGCGGTGGGCGAGGCCGCGTGTCCATGCAAAGATGGAGGCAATGGAGTTGGTGCTCGTCTCTTTACCCTTCTGGTACTCGCGGTAGTGGCGGGTGACGGTGCCGTGAGCGGCCTCTGCCTCAATTGTCTTGCCGTCAGGGCAGAGCAGCACAGACGTCATGAGCCCCAGTGAGCCAAAGCCCTGCGCCACCAAGTCGCTCTGTACATCGCCATCGTAGTTCTTGCACGCCCACACGAAGCCTCCGTGCCCCTTTATCATCTGCGCCACCTGGTCGTCGATCAGGCGATGAGAGAACGTCAGCTTCAGCTGCTCAAACTGCTCCTTGTACCGCGTGTCGTAGAGGCGCTGGAAGGTTTCAATAAACATGCCGTCGTACTTCTTCAGAATGGTGTTCTTTGTCGATAGCACGAGAGGGTACTTGCGCATCAGGGCAAACTCAAAGCAGCTCTCTGCAAACTTCTCTACGCTCTCGCGGGTGTTGTACATGGCAAGCCCAACACCCTCGCCTTTGAAGTTAAAGACTTCACGCACCGTCGGGTTGCCGCCAGGCGGTGTGTGCACAAGTTCCAGGCGGCCCGGCGGAAAGACGGCATCCGTCGCCCTGTACTGATCGCCAAAGGCGTGGCGGCCCACGATAATCGGCTCGCACCAATTTGGCAAAATACGAGGAATATTTTTGATTAAAATGGGTTCGCGAAAAACTGTGCCACCAAGAATATTACGAATTGTCCCATTCGGGCTCTTCCACATCTTCTTCAGGTTAAACTCCTTTACCCGCGCCTCATCCGGGGTTATGGTGGCACACTTAATGCCAACGTTGTGGCGCAAAACGGCCTCCGCTGCCTGAACCGTGACCTTGTCGTTAGTGGCATCGCGATTGGTGACGCCGAGGTCGTAGTACTCAATCGGGACGTCCACGTAGGGGAGAATGAGTTTCTCCTTGATGAGAGACCATATGATGCGGGTCATTTCATCTCCGTCCATGTCGACAACCTTGCCTGCGACCTTGATGCGTTCCAAGCGTGGGCACGTCGTGCTCATGTGACACGCTGCCGCCGCGGCAAATGCAAATGACGCACTGCAGGTCACACGGCGCAGCATGACTTGTTGTTACTGCTGGCAATGCAATGAGTGTGTGTGTGTGTGTGTGTGTGTGTGTGTGTGTGTATCTGTTGGGGTTAGTTTGACGTCGCCGCTCCACGGCGAGTGTGTGGTGCGTGTCGCAGCAGCATGCGCGCGCAGGTGTCTCGCCTCCGGTGAGAATGCGCGTCACACACACACACGCGCAGAGGCAGCGAGAGAAAGAGCGAAGGGAGGAAGCAGGGGGACCGTGAAGGGCGTCCATGCATAAGCTTCATCGGGGGAACAAATGATGACGCATCACACGTGAGCTTCACACGCCGCAGGCGCACCCCGCCCCCGCGACACATCCACGGAGAAAGAGAGAGAAAGAGAGAGAGAGACCCACAGACACACTCACTACTGCACACTGCACGCGTACATGGACCAATATATATATATATATATATATTTGTACATATTTCGCCTTCGCGTCAGAGCATTCCTATGGAGGGGGGACGGAGCCCATCCTTCATTTTCACTGTCTTCTTGCGAAGAGGAAAACAACAACAACAACAAAAAAAAACGACGAGGGAAACGCATTGACAAAGAGACGTTCACACAAAACGGTGATGACACCGCGTGACTGTGCTTCTCGTGCATCCCCTGCGACAAACTGATATTTCCAACTACATGTGTATATAAATCTGAGCGCATATTCGTATGTACATAAACACAGCGGCAAAAAGAAAAATAAGGTGCTGACAAAAAAACGAGAATATGAGCGCCTTTTTTTCACACACACACCCGAACTTTTCCCTCAGCTTGGATGCTACTGCTCCTCTTTTGGCGCGGACCGTTGCGGCAACGGCGCCTGTGGTGCTGTTGTTGTTGTCATCGCCTCGGAAGGTTGTGGCCTCCGTGTCTGACTCTCGCGGGTGGCGGGGGTGATGGCCCTGCCTATAACGCCCCTCTGCCACTCCGGCATCGCCGCCCGAAGCTGCTCGTTCAGCCGGCGCGCCGCAAAGGTGGCAGGGGAGGAAAACAAATCCACGCGCGCGAGCATCCGTCGAACAAACGCGGTGCCAATGTGGTGGGTAGCGTTCGTGCCGCTCGCGTTGGCGTAGGAGCGGGCAGGAAGGAACACAACGGCGTCGCTCGCCTCTGGCTGCTCCCGGCGCAGCATCGGAAACAGCTGCTCCGTTGGAACACCGTAGATCCACGAGGCGTACTCAACCTGCAACCCCTGGCGGTGCGGCAGAGGTCTTCTCATGGGCCCGGCATCGATGGGTGAGGCCGCCGGTATGGAGGCCGCCGCGACAGGGATTGCGAAGCTGGGAAGCACCGCCGTCATGCCTGCAGGAAGCCTGTCTGTTCCTCGGAGCCGCGAGAAGGCAAGACGGTACGACATTATACGATCCGCAAGCTCCTCTGGGGTGAAGGGGGAGTAGCTCACCTCCCCCGCCTTGCAAGTGACGCCGTGTCTGGCGGGGTTAAGGCCTCTGCTACGCGCGCACACGACGCCCTGTGGCACCTCGAGCGGCAACGCCACACCGGAGACTTCATGCATCGACTGGGCCTGCTGCTCGCGTGACAGCCCTCGCGCCACTACCGGTGGCAGGACGTCCTGATAACTAGCGCCGCGGCGTCGCAGCCGCAGCAGCCGTCTTGACACCTCCTGCGCCACGTCGCCATTAGGCTCCAACTGAAAGATATCTTGGTTGCGGAGCGAGATACAACGCAGCAAGGCGCGACGCTGCTTTAGTGGAACCCCACAGCGGTACGCGGAAGTCGACACGACACGCCGCGGCGATGCACTCACTGAAGGCGGACCCTCCACCTCCTTCGCATCCTCGCTGCCTCCACTGTTGTCGCTGCTGCTGCTGCTGCTTCTACTACTACTACTACTACTACTACTGAAGCGGTTCCTCACCGCGTTGGCCCACCTGGAGCGCCTCAGTCTATCCCGCAAAACCTTTTGTCGGTGCTCGCGCAACAGCTCCGTTATGCCCTTCCCATGCTTCTTCTGCGCCTCCTCAATGCTCACCAGCGCCTCCCGCACCCACGGCGAGACGTCGGGGTCCTCGCGCAGCAGCGCAGCGGCCTCCGCGTCACCGCTCTCAAGGAGGTCAAGCATCCACAAGGGAATCTCGTCCACGGTGATATCCAACCGGTTCAGCAACCTCTCCACCTCCTCCACCGCTGTTGGGCTTCTCGAGCCACGCGGGCTACCAAACGAAACGGTGCTCCGGTGATATTGGGGCGACGCCGGGGATTCAAGGAGCCCACTCTCTGGGGGCGGGACGTCCAAGAGAGACCGGGCTCTGAGGCTTTCATCGTCGCTAAACAGCGCTGCGAGACGCGATAGAAGCGCCGTATCCATGGCGATTAAAAATTGGGCGCTCACGTTACCGTCTCTGCGATATACTTCTTCTCTGATTTGCTTCTCCAACTCCTCCGCTGGCTCCTGCAAGACAGTCCGCAGTATCGCGTTATAACTGCCCACCTGCTGCATGAAACGTAGGAGTGCCTGATGGTGGTCCAGGTACAACTCAATCCCAATCGTCCGCATGGATTCCTCGTCCGGGTCTCGGGATGAGTTCATCACCGCGCCGAGAGACTGCTTCATTTGGGTTACTGGTAAGGCAACTCCGCCCTCTGGAACACGGTACATCTTCGGCGGGGGCTTGTTTTGATTTCGTTCTTCTTTGTTTTCGCGCCTCTCGTGATGGAAACGCCTGGGCCCTTGCAAACTACCGTCGAGGTCTGGGTGCGACCGTTTATGTGAGGAATCACGCCTCACCCCAACACCACCGTTTCTTCTGTCGTCGCTTTCAACGATATCACCCCCCTCATTCATCGTGGCATCGCCACAGTCCGCGCTTGCTCCTCCTGTGCCGTCGGTTACTACCTCTTTGACTTCGCCTCGCGGCAAGCGAGGCACCTTCTGCTCTGCCGCATGTGCAGAGAGTACTGCATGCGCAAAGGCCTCGGTATTCTCCCCACGCTCAAGAACCTCCTCCGCAGTCTTGGCGGCCCCCCAGTGGACCTGCCGCGGCGTTTCAACGGAGCTGTCACGATTGCCGTGCGTTACCACCTCCACATCCTGCAGTGTCTTCTTCAATCCGTTGGCCTCCAGCTGTCGCGCCGCACACTTCTGCGCCACCTCGCGTGCCTGGGATCGCACTTCCTCCGCCGCCTCCTCGTTGCCACCCGATTTTGCTGCAGCTATGTCACTAAAAATATGTTTCAATTCATTCGAATTATGCTTGTCATTCTTAAACTCCTTCACGGGCTCTTTTTCCGACGCCAACAGAGGCTTGTGCGTGGGCGTATCGTGTGGTCTTACCTGAGACCGTTTCCCTGGCCCCTGCGTACCTGCCTTGCGCTGCCGCCCTGGAACCGCCACATGAGAGGGCAACTTTGTTCCCATCTCTTCCTGACGATGTTTGAGTCGCCCATGCGCCCCCTCGCGCTGCACGTCCTTCACCCGTGTTCCACTCCGCTCCTCTCGGGTAAAGGTGGGGCTGGGGAGTTTTGTGAACACCCTCGGCACGGCGTCTCCGACCCACGAAGAGTTGCGGCCGGAAGAAGTCAGTGCGCCCGTCTTCCCGCGCCTTGTCTTTGTACCGCCACCGCCCCCCTCCCCACGGTGTTGCCCGGCGCCGTCGTCGTCATCCGAATACTCCTCTACCCGTTTCTTGTCTTTCTTGCTTTTTTTCCCTTGTTTTGCCGTATTTACATTCTCCTCTAGTTGTGCGATGAGCTGTCTTTGCGCGACGATAGTTTCGAGGGCGTCGCAAAGGCGTTCCCCCATATGCCTATTCTCATTCTCCAATCGACGCACAAGCTCTAACTCGCTTCCTCCCGAACTCGCGCCTTTGTCATCCTGCTGCAGATTTACCAACGGGAAGGCAGTCGTATTCTGCGCGTCAACCATGTTTACCTCCTCCGGACGCGTGGAAAACAACGAGGTAGTGGGGGTTTGCAACCTGCAGCTAGTGCGCTCTATGCGAGAGCTCTCCAGAGGCTGAAAGCGATGCAACATCGTGGCGTCTGAAAAGTCTTGGGTCTCCTCCTCCGAGCCTGCCGTGCAGAACCTATCCGCCGGGGTGTGTGACATTTGCCCGTCCTTGCTCCGCTGCCTCTGGATCTGTCTGCTCTGCGGATGCAGCTTTTGCTGCATCTCGTACGCCATAAGCTTCTCTGATAGGGAGAAGAGCCGCTGCCGCAGCATCATGATCTGCTGCTCCTTTGCAATGGAGGTGTGTTTATCCACAACAGTGTCGTTGTTGGAGGTGGAGAGTTGGGAAGAGTGAGTGGCAAGGTTCGTGCTGGAGAGTATCGACTCCTGCAGGTAGGCGATCTCCTCCCTGAGGAGGATGACGGTGCGGTTACTGCACTCCAGATCCGTCAGAAGCCGTAAGATCTCCTCCTTGTAGGCAGCGGCAACAGTGGCCTCCACCTCATCCTTCTCTTCCACAAGCACGTCCTCGTAGAGCTCCTCGCTCTCCTCTCTTCCACTGCTGATGGTGCCGGTGCGAGAGTCTCCCGGAAAACCCGACATGGAAAGTGAACGCTTCGTGACGTGTTTTACGCTCTTCGCCGGGGTCATGAGGTGCGCCAGGGCGTCCTTAATGCCAAACATGGAGCTGAGATGCTGCGGGGGCTGCTCATGGTGGTGCTGACGGGCACTGCTAACGGCGCTGCTAACGTTCGGGAGATCCTGCGGCTGCGGCATCACCGATGTGGCGCTGGACTGAGGCACGCGCTTATTTTGCAGGTATCGCGAGAGACCGACGTTGTCGTTGCCGTTGTGGGCCTCGAGATCCGCGAGGCCGCCGCCCAGTTGCCCCATGTCATCATTCTCCAGGAGGATTTGCCGCATGCCCCGGTAGTTGCCAACGACCCCCTTGGAGCGTATGTCGTTGCACCACCGCCCGGCCGAAGACATAAACATCTCGGTGAAAAAGTTAACGACGGTGTGGTCAAAGCAACGGCGCAGCACCAAGTCGTAGCCGAAGCTGTACGCCTCCGCCGCGGTGGTGCTGTGCTTTGGCAGGCGAAGCATCCCGGGTGTGTGGCTGTCGTAGTTTTCGTGGAGCATCAAGACAATGATGAGGCCCATATTGTTCTCGCGGTCAAAGTAGCGCAGGTAATCCACGATGTCGCGAAACGGCTCGTGTGTGCAGACGTCCACCACCACCAGTCGCGCCACCATGTCGTCTCGCGGGAGGTTCTGCCCCAACTCCAACTCCTCCCCTTCCGCGCTACAGATGGAGGAGCAGGCACTCGCCGGACGCGCGTTCCGCTCATCCTCATTCATCGTATGCGCGGCCTCGCCACCCGCGGATGCCGCCGCATCTCCTTCCTTTTCATCTGCCCAAGGGGGATCGTTTCGGTCCGCTGCAGAGTGAGCAGCGAGCGGCGAGCTACGCGTGAAGATTTTTGCTCGACTCGATGTCGTCGCTGCTGCACGCCTTACTTTTAACCCGCTTTTTCGCGCCCTCATGATTTGTTGCTGAATGATGGCAGTCGCCTCGGTGAGCGTTTGGACCTCCGTAACCTTCCAGCGGTACATGGCGAGCTGCGAAGCCATGATGGCCATCGTAAGCACGTTCGCAGAGAGCACAATAGCGTGCGCCGTGCTGGCGCGCCAGGATATCTTTCGCTGCGTTTCCACCAGCGCATCCATCTGCATGATGCGCTCCTCGCGGCTGCTAGCGCCGTACATCAGCACCTCCGCCATCTCGTCGCTTCCCAGCAGCCGCTCGTACTCCGCGTCTCGCCGCAACTTCTGCAGCCGCTCCTGCCGCCTCTCGTCCTCCCTTTCGTCGTCAAATCGTTGCATGGAGGCGCATTCCCCGGTAAGCGTTGTAGCCGGCATATTTCCGGACAAACACCGGACTTGCAAAGGCTTTCAAAAGACGTGTGTGGAGAACTTAGCGTGTACGTATTCTTCTCCTCCCTCCTCCCTGTACTGGAGCAAAAACGGCGGGAAATAGAAAGACGCGCGGCGGGGCCACAATTGGCACGTGATACTGGATGGCATTCGGTTTATTATTATTATTATTATTTACCAAATGAATGGGGAAAAAAAGTGACAGAAGAGGGAAAGAAACATAACAACAAGGACACTGCAAGGAAGCGTTGTTCTCGTCTCAGCACCACGAGAGTCACGATATATATATATTCCGGCACACTTATTACTTTCCTTCCTTCGCCTCCTCGCACACTCATAGACGCCCATGCATACACCTTGCATGCATCTGTACACATGGCGCATCGTCCCCGTTCGTTATACCGTTGTTATTTTGTTAGCATTCACTGCTGCCTGCACGCAGGGGGGGTCTCGAGCGTGCGACCGTGATCCGCCCACCCACCCCCCGCTGTTGTTGCGGGTGCCGGGCAAACAATCGGTTCTGTCCCCGCGTCCAGCCACGCCGCCGGCGGCCCCGGCGAGGCGTCATCCTTCACGAATGCGAAGCAAACGCCACGCGTTCTGCCAGCCGACGCTCCTGCTGCAGCCGTCGACGTTCCACCGGCGAGAACCACAATGAGGCTGTTGTGCGGCGCCGCGCGAACGATTTGCATCACGCGCCTATTCACCTCGTCCACACGCTCCAGCTGCCGCTCCTCCCACAGCTGCCCTTCACCTTCCGCGACGCCCTGCTGCTGCTGCGGCTCAACCGTCTCGGTGAGCTGCACCCACGTCAGCGTATAGGATGGCGGTGCGGCGTCCGTTGTGTGTTCTCGGCCACGCTCCCGTTGCTGCAGACATCGCACCGCCTTCCGCACCGCATCCCTGTCGTGTCTCACCGGTACTGCATGCAACCGACTGCCGCTCCGGGCATCCGCGCCGCTGGGAATGAGCTCACGCAGGATACATGCGTCATCAAACAGATTCAACCCTATCTCAAGCGATGCCGACGTTCCTCCATGTGCCTCGTCCCGTTTCTCCCGCTCCCGATCGTCAACCTCGCTTGCCGTCGCTGCGGCTTTCACTGGAGGAGCGGCCGCTCTCTCCATGAGTTGTAAAACACTCACTCGCGCCCGAACCCCAAACCCTGGGCCGTGCTGTAGCTTCAAGTGCACAAGCTCCGCGCTGGCGCTGGCATCCTCCGCACTGTCGTGAGATCCTTGCTGGATCCGCTTCCGAAGATACCGCATCGCCAAGTACCGCAGTGAATTTTTGTAAGGCAGCCCCGCCGGATGAGGAAACAAGTGCGCCGTGTCCAGCAGATGACAGTTTGGCAGCATTTTACATGCCTTGAAGTCGTTTTCAAGGCTGTGGCCCACAACAAATGTTTCCCTGTCAATGTGGCGTTTCAGCTCCCGTTGGCAATCCTGCAGCGTCGTCGTCACCCCATCCAGCATCGCCTCATCAACGCCGCTGTAGCGTGTGATGTAATCCACCACCGGCATCGCTGGCTTCACGAGAGTGTCAAGCACCACCGCACCGGCTCGCACATCCAGCAGCGTGATACGCGCCAGCGCACTCACGTTGTTGGCGACGAGCACCATCTCGCAGTCCATTGCAAACACGCGTGGGGCCCGCACCTCCACCTCAGCCTCGTCCTTCGACAAGACTGGGGCCTCAAACGAGGTCCACTCAGCCGCCTCGGCGCGATCGGGTGGGAAGTTGACAACAAACGCAAGGCTCTCCAACTCCGCTCGATCCCTCTCCAGGGACAGGGAGTACTGCAGCAGCGTGGCGCGGTCACCCCAGAGCGAGGGGCGACCATCCTCAGTCTGCTGCAGCGCTGCTAAACTGGACAAGACGGGCGACGATACTGCCGCCAGTGATGAAGGAAAGGCACCATTATCAGGGATATCTGCCGTGTCCGGCGGTGTTTTGCTGCCGTGAATCTCCAGGGCGCGGTTAAATAACTTTCCCACACCGTGCGGCTTCAACGATAACGATGCCGTCTCGACAGAATTGAAGGAAGCAGGGAAGCCGTTGACACCCGCCGTGCAGCAATCCCCCGATGCCTCGCCTTTTTCGCTGCCCCTGGTCTCGGCGTTTGCGTTATGAGCAGCGGGACCATTACGGTGTTGACCGTCGTGGGGAGCCTTCGGCGCATCATTTCTCCAAAAGACCTCACGCTCCAGTGAACTCCTGGCGTCTGGAAGAAGTATGGGGGCGAACTGCACGCCACACCCTTTGCGCGCCCAACACTGCTGCGCACGTATGGGGGCCAGCATGGCGCGACCAACGCGCTCCGCCCGCCTCTGCTCCTGCTGGGCCTCCGCCTCGTTGCTGCCCGCATCCACGGCGGGGTGGCTGGCGTCTGCCACTATCATTTCGTCATGCGTCCACCCATTCACGTAAATCACCACCACGTCCCGCAGCCTGGATTTGTTCTTGATAAAAAACGCCCGCGGCCCTTCGATCAACGGCACCGCGACCGGTACTGACCACAAGAGCAAATCCCCCACATCACGCGGAAAGAGAATCTCGCCTCGATGCCGCTGCTTCTCGAGTTGAAAATAAATCTCCACAGCGTAGAGGGACTCCACAAGAGCGGCGGTCAGAATGGGCACATTGTCAGTGGCGGCAGCGGCGGCAGAGGAACCGTCACCATGACGACTACGAGTATCCCTCTCGTCAGCACACAAATCCCGAATCACGTCTTCATCAGTGGCGTGGGGTGCACTGACATGAGCGCAATGCTCGCTGGTGGAGGGCGGCAGGAGCACCTCCGTCGTGTGTGGCATGGAGCCAGAGGGTGTGCTGGCAATGCGGCGGCCACGTGCCTCCAGGGCGTGTGCCAGAACCGGGGAGGAGGTGGCGGACGGGGTGCGCTGACGCTTCGGACGTCGTGCAGGCATTTCTCCTTCCGAGCAGTGAAGCTTATCAACCGAATGTGTGTGTGTGTGTGTGTGTGTGTGTATGTGGCGGCTTTAATATCCACTCCGAACTTCCAGAGGCCTTCGGAAAAAAAAAGGTCAAATCCAAACAAATGGAATCCAATTCCACTTCCCTACTTTTGCGTAGCCGTTACTTCCTGTGCGCCGTGCCTATGCGACTTGCGGAAGACCTCGTGGTGCACGCACGCATTCACGCCAACAGAAAAAAAAAGACCAAACAAGACGCAAAAGAAAAAAAACAGCGATAAATACCGTCCGCGAGGCGTTGAGGGTCGTCACAGTGGTGGGAAGAGGAGAGCGGTGAGCTGTGTGCGCACATATATGCAGAGGGAGAAACAAAGGAGGAGGAGATGGCGATGCCCCCAGAGCTGCACCCCTTCCCCCACGCACGCAGAAGGCGCAGTGAGGTCTGTTTATTTGCCTGCGTCTGCGGCTCACTGGGAAATTTCTTCCCCGCCATCACACAACGGAGCCCAACGGGCATTCAACAGGGTGAGACTGGCGGCGGCAAAAAGCAACGAAGAAAAACAACTGGACGTAACCAAAAACAACAACAACAACACACACACACACAACGACGACAACGAACAAATAAAGGCAAAGCCACCAAAGGAGAGAGACACACAGGCCGAGCGGCACCACTGCCATCACAATGTGCAATTTCTCGCGGTCGGCGCCGGCGCTCTGCATGACGGCCGCCTTCACCCGCACAAATCGCAACGTTCCATCGCCTGGCTCCCGCGCCAGGGCCAAACTAAGCCCGGACATGATATCGCAAGCAAAACGCAAGACACTTTCGTCTCATGCCGCCGCCGTCCACGACAAGCTCACTGCTTTAACGAAGTCACCGCAGCACGCACACCACAGCATCGTCTGCTTTACCACGCCGTGGTTGCAATTGCAGTTGGGCTCGCTCGACTGCACCACTACAGCGAGTCACAGACACGCGGGCTGAGCCAACAGCGGTGGGAGTAGCGGTTAGCCACCGAGCAGGTCACACTGTCGATAGGACATCGACGCTTTTGTTGAGTTCCCTTTTCTTTATCACGGAGGGAGGTGCACGCAGCCACGCATACACACACTTATGGAGAAAGAACGAGGGAGAGAGCGCGAGCGTGCACCAACGCCTCATATCAAAGAATACCTCAAGAAGGCGCTACTACTGTTCGCCCACACGCTCTCCCCGTGACTGCTTGGCGCTCGCTACAATGCAGCATTCGGGCCAACACACACACCAATAATAATAATGAAAGAAAGAAAAAAAACAAAAAAAAAAACGGTGCTGAACACCACAGATAATGTTGGGGGCTGAATGCCGCCAACTACTCACTACCCGCTATGTCGTGCGATGATTAATCGTCACGCAGGCCGCAAACACGTTGAGGACCCCCAACGAAATCATATACACGCCCACCACCCATCCACCGACGTGGTTTCCCAGCAGCAGCCCCCCGATGAAGATGTAAACAAGGGCGCGCCCAACGTGTGAAAGGAGGAAGCGTGTAAACCGCGCCAGGTGGTGATGCCGCATCATGCCAAGCTCCGCCGCTGGCAAGACCACTGCAAATAAAACAACGTACACGTAGGCAATGTACATGCGCACCTCACCGAGTTCACGCGGCGGGGCCCACATGAGCAGAAAGAACGCAAAGCTTCCACTGCCAAATGCCCCCGCCACGCCTAGAAGCTGAAGCGCACGGCTGAAATGTTTCGCCGTTACAATCTCTCTAACTGACGGCATTACTGTTCACCACTTGAAACGAGAGCTCCCGTGTAGCCAGTAGCAGCCGTTTAAAGAAAAATTTACACACGGACACAACAACAACAAAAAAAAAAGAAGGTGAAACCTAAAAGGAAGACGAGGGGCGGGTGGAACTCGGGAGGTGGTGATAGAAGCGGAGGCCCGCCAGCGTTATCCACAAGCAGCACACCATGTCTTTGGGCCTTAGCAGTCAGCCTCGTCTCCCTTCTCCCTCACAAACACGCATATGTAATATACGTCTTGACTACACACACACACACACACAGAGAGAGAGAGGCACACACACATACAGGTGGTACACAGGTGAATAAACTTCAAATGCCACGAAGGCATCCGTCGAGAATAATGACACCATCACTCTCAGAGTGAAGTCT